TTTTTCAATTAAACAATACTAATGTATTCAAATTTACTTTAAATAAAATTATTTTGGAAAATTTTTTATTATAATAAAAGCAAAATCTATGAAGATTTTATTACATAAAACATGCAAACCAGCGAACGAAGTAACGTTTAATTTTGTTTTTTTTTTTTTTTTTTTTTTTTTAGTAAAAGTCATCATCACTTTTTTACCAAAAAAATTTCAATCTTGATGTTGATTACAGATAAAAACTTTTTCAAAATTACAAACAGCAATAGACCAGATAATAATTTCAGACAAAAGAACAAAAACTAAAAAAAATGGCTTTGTATTAATGCTAAGGTTATTTGTTCGTGCCTAATCAAATTTAATGAGACCTACTGTATGAATAATAAAATACCTTAAAATACCTTACAAGCTTATAATACTTTGCAATATAAAATGTATACAAGCTGTTTTGTTTGATTATTTCTACTAAGGATTATACTTTTATCTTCATCATAGAAATCATTCATAGAAGTTGCATCTCAGCGATAATTTTTTAACCATCTACCATCATTATTAACAACACTACAGAGTTTAATCATTTTAATTCTCATTTATAATCAAAAATGCACTGAACTTATCATCATCAGTCTTTCTTTGCTTACTTCATCATTAAACAGAAACGTGAAAATCATTGTAATCATCACATAATCATGCCCTTATCACCAAACCATTCTATTTAATTATTTAAATTAATATTGTTACAAATCATTCCCATCGTCATCATCATCATTCTTTTCTTCATCCCTCTTCTCATTATCATCATCATCAGCAGCAGGATTCTCATCTTTTATTTACAAGGACCGTTAACATTTTTATACTCTGACACGGTCTGTCATCATTATTGTACAATCTCTTTTTTTATCATCATCATCATCATCATTATCATCATCATCATAATCGTAAATCAACTAAATTATCATTATTATCATCATCATTGTCGTCATCATCATTTTCATAGCCACTATTCTATTCATCATTATCACCTTTTTCGTCATCATTATTCTTATCATCATGACAATCGGCATTATCCCTGATCATTTTGAATGTTATCCAAACTTCAATCATTCATTATACCCATCATTTTTAGAATTTTCACTCAATTTTCAACTTTGCTATTTATATTGTAAGTTTTGTTGAAAAGTTAGTTGATATCTCCTTAATACGTATCTCCTTAATACGTATCTCCTTAATACGTATCTCCTTAATACGTATCTCCTTAATACGTATCTCCTTAATACGTACCTTCTTAATACGTATCTTCAGTTAATTTTATATACTCATTAAATCATTGCCCATTTCATCATCCTCATCATCTTCCTTACACATATCTTCAACGTCTTTAGCATCATCGTCATCGTCTTCACCATAAGTGTCATCGTCATCATCTTCGTCATCATCATCGTCTTCATCAACGTCATTATTATCGCCATCTTCGTTAGAGTCATCATCACCCTTCCCTCCTATAATAGACCACCACCATCACCATCATCATCACCAATGACGTCATCGTCGTCGTCATTAAAGACCTGACATTCATCACTTTTTGCCAGCATCTTTCGTGGGGTCAAAAAAAATATATTATGTCCAAAGAAGAATCTATGGAAACCGGTCATCATCATCCAGTATCATCATCATCTTCATCATCTTCTTCATCATCATCATCCCCAATTTCCATCTTCAAACATCATTATCAAGGATTGTTATCATTAGTTAGTCATTCATTTGCTGGTTTCAACATGTTATCATTTCACTTATCTAAACTTATCGCATTTGTTGTACGGGACTTTCTTACATTCGAACGCAGTCGATGCAGCAGCAGAACCAGGAAACTTAACCACTACACCATGTTGCCGCCAAAGGTAAATATATACATAATTCATACATGAAGAAAGATTTCGTACTATAAGTTAGCAATTAGTGGTAAGAATTTTGAAATAAACTCTCAATGCTTTTATGAGGTATACAAGTATACACGCTTTAACATCTGCGTAGGCGCCATTAAAAATTTATAATTTAATCGTGTTTATTTAGGCTTATAAATGCATCTCCTAGTACTAACGTATTCCTTTCTCTGCGCATACATTCAAATACAAGCCAGTGTAGCGTCTTAGCATGTGAAATTAGCCAAAATATGTATGTAGGGATTAATATGTTTGAATATGGATATATGAAGATGTGTGGATGGGTATATTTGTTTAGATATGTCTAGATGGGTATATTTGTTTGGTATACCTAGATGGAGATGTTTGTATGGATAAGTTTGTATGGATATGTTTGTATGGATAAGTTTGTATGGATAAGTTTGTATGGATAAGTTTGTATGGATAAGTTTGTATGGATAAGTTTGTATGGATAAGTTTGTATGGATATGTTTGTATGGATATGTTTGTATGGATATGTTTGTATGGATATGTTTGTATGGATATGTTTGTATGGATATGTTTGTATGGATATGTTTGTATGGATATGTTTGTAGTATGGATATGTTTGTATGGACATGTTTGCGGATCTAATATAGACATGTATTGCACGCATTACCAAGCCAGTCATCGCTACGCTTTGATGAGACGTAAGCTGCGTTACATCCGTCTGTTGCCATTTCACGAGAACTGTTATGCTTCCATCACAGTGATGTTGTCTGGCTGGTTGGGGTTTAACAAACCAGTTGCAAACTAATTTCTACTCTGTATATTTATTATGATAATTTATTTTAAATTAGTGCTGAATTAGTGTACTTATTTTTTACCATCATCTGTTACTGGTTACTGTTACTTGTTAATGTTGATGGTTTTTATTTGTTACTAAATTTAATAATGAACCACTGAAGAGTTGTTTGAATTTGCTGGAATTTGAATGTTTTTGCTAGCTACGGTTTGAATTTTAAAGTTTCATCTCTATTAACATTCGTTCATCTAACTCAATTTGAAAATATTTCTAAAATCCTAAAAATTTGTATACAAATTAACTTGTATAAATTAACAAATTAACTTATATGTAAATAGTTGGGTTTTTATTGATAGCTGCACGGTTGTCTATACTTATTGGTATGCAGTTGGTTCCGTTAATCACACTTTTCTTGAATTTTGAATACAGTTTAACTGGATTTTTGACATCTTGTTAGTATCAATGTTATATAGATTCGTTTTGTGGCTCTGCTGTTGTTTTTGTTGTTGTTGTTTATGTTGTCGTTGTTGTTGTTTTCAATGTTGAGATTTTGTTAAATTTGTTGTCCACGTATTTTTCATCGTTTGAACTGTTCGAGATGTAGTTATCGATGTTGCTGGTTTGTTAGTACTAATGCTATTGACTGTTGGTAATGTTTTGTTGTAGTTGTCATTAATGTTTTTTTTAAATCTGGTGTTAAAAATTTTTCTAAATAATTTTATTTCGTATCAGTTGCTGTATTTGTATCTATTATAGTATCTACGAATGTATCTAGTGTATCTAAAAACGTTTTAATTTTATCTATCTTTCTGCTGATTAAGTTGTTCACGTTGATGAACTTGTGGTGGATAATATTCATGTTAGTAAGAGAAACGTTGAAAACACACCTCGCGGCAAAGTCTGCACTGCCGTTGGTCGTGTTATTTATGCTGTCTTCTAATGGGAGGCATTGCATAGTTTATGATGCGGCTGTTTATGATGTTCTGCTTGCGGCTGCTGTGGCTGTTGCAACTGCTTCTGCTATTGTTGGTGTTCCTTATTTTCACACATGCGTTTGTTGTTGTTGTTGTTCATGACGTTGTTGTATACGGTGTTGCTGTTTATGATGTTAAGGGGTGGCTGTTGTTTATGTTGTCATTGCTGCCTAGGATGTAGCTCATAAATGCTGCGGTCAACGACATAGCAAGTGATAATAATTGAAATAATGATTATACAATACGAGCGATGGTGGTGTGGCACGTGAGATGTTTCAGCTGTTTTATTTTTAGATGATGCTGTCTAAAATAAGAAAATTGTTAGGCGTATTTTGATTGTTTCAATTCTGTTCGTTTTTGTGTTTACCACCTCCTGCCACTCAATTGCGCAACATTGATTGCTTGAAATAATTTTATTAAAGTTTCGAGTAATTGTATTTTTTATTATACAATTATGACATCAGAAACTGCCTACATAACGATTGTTATTTATCGTTAATCTTCCTAGCCACAACGGCTGCAACATGCACACCACAAGACACACGACACACACCACACGACACACGACACACACGACACACACCACACGACACACACCACACGACACACATATACCTCTTGTACGCACGCGCAAAGCAACGAATAATACGCGCATGTTGTGTGACACATTGAGTCTCGGTCAGACAGTATTCGAACCAAGTTGCCGCTGAATAGCAACACCAGAAATAAAAATTCAACAGACTGAAATAACTGAACTAATTTGCCAGACGGTCTATGTTGATAGATTTTGCTAAGTTTAACTATAAATTTATGTATGAAATCAACTATGGGGCTATTATACAACTGTGAAGTTATAATTTGTATCTCAAACTATGAACCTGAAAAAATGATTTTGTGCAATATTTTTTGAGGCTGGCAATCTTCAAACTTTCAAGACATTTTCAATAAAATGAATGACTGATAGTTACGCAACTCAAGATGTATAAATTTATTAACATCATTGTTATCATTATAAATCAATCACTTCATTATCATCATCATCATCATCGTCGTCATTTTCACCAAATTTCTCCTTCTTCACATCATCTTCCTCTTCTTCATCAAAATCCTCATCAACATCATCGTCCTCATTGGCCAAAGCCTCGCATTCGTTCATTTACAAAGCACAATCATCCTAACTAATCCAGCTCTATCCGGCTACCAAAGTTACCGACCTCATCAATCGTCATCATCACTATCGTCATCATCGTCGTCATCATACTCGTCATCGTCGTTATCATTGGCATCGCGGTTCGATGAGGATGACGACCTGCCTAGTAACTACCAGAGCCCCATCCACAACCTGCAGCAGTCGACTTGCGACCAGCACATCACTAGCTCGCATCCAGAGCCTCATGAAATCACATCGCCCGGCTACCCGAACAGCTATCCCTCCACTCCAACCATGTGTCACTACGTCATCGAAGGTGAAAGTCGCCAGCGAATTCAACTGACATTCACTGAAATTGACCTCCATCCTAGCGATGACAAAATGCCAGCGGAAAACGAGTTGTAAGTTTTTTTTTATTATTTAGCCTGTAGTTTTCTGCTTTGTAATTTTCATCATTTTGTAAATGTATTCAAGATATAAAATCTTTTTTTATTGAATGAACATTCAGAGGCCGACAGCCCAACTGATATTGAAATGAATGATTGTTTGTTGATATACTTGAAGCTTAGATGGAACTGAATATATATTGTTTTAATTTAAATGAAATAAAATTTTAACGAAATGAAATTGGTTTGATTAAACGATTAACTTCTAATTATGAGAATTAGTCAAGCTAAACAAGATAACTAATCAAATTTAAACAACTTTTCTAAACGTTTCCCTTCAAAAAATTTGCATTATCATGCAAACATTGCACAAGCCTAGAAAATCGTTTGTTATATTTAAATAATAGTTTTTTGTTGTCTATTATAATTACCAAATGAATATTATATTGATAATTTAAAAATTTTATAAAACTTTTAAAGTCATGAATTGCAATTTCGTTTTCAAGTTTTTATAAAGGGTAGCAAAAAATATGTGCGACTTGGCGAAAAATAATGAGTTCAAAGAAGGTGAATTTGTAAGAACGAACATTAGTTTCATTTTAAAGTTTTTAGTGTTTTTTGTTTATTTCAGCAACGATTTGTTGACTGTTTTATAGCCCAATGTTTGTCCAAAAGCTTCAGTTTGGCTTTGGCCATTTTAATGTTAGAGTAGCTGAATATTACATAAACAAATTTATAAGCAACTTTAATGCAGATTCATTTTTCAATTTAAAATAAGAGATACTAAAAACTACATTAAAAAATGACAATAATTAAAAAATTAATTAAACCATAAATTATGACTCCAACGAACGGCCTCATGGGGTCCACACACATCACGCTGGGAATCTTCAGAAACCACGAGCTTGTTGTCTCCTCTTGCTTGCTCGGCCATTCACCGCATACCTTGTAAATGCCCGTCAGTCTGATTTTAAATGAATAAATGTTGTAAACTTTGTATATCATTGTTTATGTCCATGTAAAATTTTTTAAAATCGTTGTCGTATCCTTGTTGGATTTTTATTAAATATCACAAACATAGAGTCAAACAACATCCGCAACATCATAAACGTTTGTGGGTTGTTGAAAGTACGCTCAACGCCGGGCAGCAACATACAACAAATAATATTTGCCAAACAACATGCAACAAACAACATACAATAAGGAACATGCGACAAGTAGCATGCAACAAACAGCATGCGACACACAACAAACAACACACAACCTAAACTATGAAACATGCAACATACAAGGAACACGAAACAACATACAGCAGCAATATGCATCGTGCTTGGTTGTCGGTTGGCAGTTGTCTGTCTTGTTCCTCTTCAATTACAGAGCCTGATGGCGTGCGAAAGAATTTCTTTAGAATTTCGGTACGTGACATTCCGAGACGATATCGCCGATAATTTCAAAGCTGCATTGTTCATCTATCTGCTGCTGGAGAACAAAACTGAAGGTGGTTGACGTTTGATCGAAGTTGGACATTGATGTTGTGACTCCACCCATTCTTCTGCAAACTTTAAAATTGACGCACACACAAATAAAAACTGAGCCAATGAACCAAACACACAAAATCTGACAAAATTTATACACTAATAAATCTGAGTTTTTGTCGTGAGGGAAAATCATTCTGTATCATTGAATTCGCTGGCAAAAAATTTTTTAATAAAAATATAACATAAACAATGAACGGTACGAAATTTTTTCTAGCGCCACGAACGTTGATTAAGAAACACTCAGACTGAACATACAAAAAATACTAAACTTACTAAAACATAAAACAGACAAAACAAACAAAAACATACAAAAACATACAAAACATGTAAGAGCATAAAAGGGCATAAAAGAACATACAATGCTTTCATTAATGCATTTCTTCATCCTTCACAAATGCTGTGGTCTCACAACAATGCAATGCACATTTGCACAGTACGTTATGCTTAGTTAAACGCTGAATGTACAATATTTTTCAATATTAATCATCTTGCGTTTGAACCAGCTCCACACGTGATCGTTATGAGCAAGTTGCGTAGCAAATGACATTCATATCACATTAGCTATCTCGGTAACGAAATTGCTTTACTTAATATTTCAAAATAAATATTTTTCCGGTGACCTACGTACGTGGATGCGTCTTTTTTGGTAATACCATTTGTATGCTGATGATTCTATCGCGTGTTGCCGCGGAGTTTATATTTTTGGAAAAAATGTGAAAAATGTTTTATTTTTTTATTGTTTACAGTGAAACAAGTGAATAATACATAAATAATCCAAAATAGTTCATTTTTTTAAACTTTTCTATCAAATTTAGCGTAATGCGTTAAGACGTAATGAAATATTTACAATGGAGTAGATGAGAATATAAATACGAACAAATAAATATTACAAAAATGATAAATAACAAAATAATTTTATTTTAATTTATAGTAATTTTAGTGCAGGATTTTGTGATGTTTTAAAAGTTTTTAGGTAGTTTTTCAGTAAAAACAAAAAAGCAATACATGACCATTGTTCGTTAATGTTTCTATCATTTGATAAAATTAATTTTACAGTATTACACAGTTTCCGTCGTTAAAATTAAATTAAAAAATATTTTCATCATGAAATGTCATTTATTTATTTTCAGGGCCGGACTGCAGCTAAGTTAGCAATCAGCACAAAGTCTTTGTATAACCATATTTGTACCTCAGCAGTGGTTGACTGTCGACTGTCTGATGATTGGGGTAGTTTGCATGGAGATTGCATTTCAAATTAGAGCATATACATTTGATCAATGGTTGTAAAGCGAATGTTCAAATCAATCTTAAATGCGGTAACTGAACAAGAGTTTTTTAAAATAAAACTTATAAATTTACTATCTCTGAAATATTTTATTTTAAATTTTTAAAAATTAGCTTATACTTGTTTTAGAAGCTTGTGAAGGCTAAGTTTGTAAGTTCACTCTATTACTGCATTGCATATGCAAGTAATGTGTGTGTACGTGTTTATAAAAGATTAATATTATTCTATTAATGTAATTAGATATCACTTAGTTCTTTAGATAATTTTGAAAATTTCTCGTTTATGTATATCATCTTTTTTTCAATATTTAAGTGGATATGTGCATTTGGAAATTCAATTTATCTCAATTATTTGAAATTTCAGAAATAGGTTGTTTTTATTTTTTCATGAATTCATTTCTATTATTTTCTTGTTTACGCTGTAGCGTTGTGATAAATTATTTCCGATGAAGAAAGGGTTCTTATTAAATAAGTTTCAAATCTTATTTTGGCTTTCCTCCACATAATTTTGTCAATTTTTGAGTTAAAACTAATGGGTTGAAATTGCTTGTTAGATAACCTCCGGTAATGGTGATTTTTGTGCTTCTTAACTGTAATTAGTCTCGCTTTGGGAAAAAAAGGTTTTCCGTTTCATCTGCAAAAATCTGAAAGTCACGACCTGTAGATTGAAAAAAATTCACTTTCACGAGCCGACATGTTTTCAAAAAACGTTTGAAACATCATTTGTTTTAAAATTCTCGAGTGGAGCTGGTGCTTCTGAAGTTATTCACACATCCTAGGATACAATTACAGATACAGATTAGCCTTCTTGTAATAATTGAAATATGTCAACAGCATTTGTTTCATCACACTTCTGTTTTACATAAGTTCTTGTTTGAATACTCACGATTATGACCATGAAGAAATCGTGGCTTTTGCATGTAGTTCTCAATACGATAAACAACTTTTTGGCAAAAAAGATTTTCAAATGAAAAAAAAAAATTTTTGTCAAAATTAAATTTAAAAAATTTGAGTAAGTGAATGAGTAAATGCGTAAAAGTTAAAAATTTGAAAAAATAAACAACTGACAAAAACAGTAGAAAAAAAATATCCCAGACACAAAAGTATAAAGAAATAATAACGTGAGAGTGGAAAAACTACAGAAGCCCGTGGCATTGTAGAGCATCATTAGGTGTGACATCACGTTAATGCCTCTAACAATAAACAAGCTACATGCAATTGGCAAGAGCGAAAAAAATATAAAGGAATGTTTTAATAACAATCGTTACCGTTATCACCACGCTAATAAATTAATGTCATGAATACTGTTGCTGCTTGCTGTCTCAGCTCAGCCGATTAGATTTTTTTCTGCATATTTTCGTTCAGTTTTTGTAATTGTATCTTTGTCTGTTGTGAGTTTGTTAGTAAAAATTTCAACAGAAATGAAAAATATAACTTGTTATTTATAATTTTGTTAGAGCGATATAAACAAACCGGACAATGAGAACAACAAGTATAAAAAATTATCTCGAACAAGTTTAATACAACATGTAACTTGAAAGTTTCCTGAAACTCAAACTTTATTGTGCTTTGTTATTTACTGCCAATTCAAAAAGTAATTTTGTTAGAAAATAAGTATGGTAAAACAAGACAGTCGAGAAGAAACACTCACACAGACAAACTATCAAAGTATCAAAGAGCAACAAACAAAAAAGAACATGAAGCTATTTAACAATTTTTAGAATAACATCCCAAGCAAAAAAGAACATGTGAACGTTGGTGAGATATTGTACGATTTCTCTGTTTCCTTCAGGCTGAATCACATTAACCAATAAAGTGTAAACAAATCACATCAACATAATGTCCACAGTATTATGTTTGGGTCTTTTTTTATTTGCAGACAATTATCGGTTGTAGCAATTTTTTAAAAAATATAACGATAACAACCAAATTTGTTCTGACCGGTCATTTAAAACACGACCCTCAACTATGATACAACAAATTTGAGTTAGGTTGGTTAGATAGAGCATATATATCTAAGACCCAGGACGGATCTCCGATTTAACCGGCCTATTGCATATGTTGTCTGACCTATTTGAATTGTTTATGAATGAATATCTTTTAGAATGATAATAAATTCTTAACGTGCTAGAATATTGAATTGAGTTGCTATATAAAAGGTTTTGCATCAGTGTTTGTATTTATTTTCTGATTCAAAGGCGTGCGTTCAGTAGCGAATCTTTCCCTCCCCTCTCCGTTTTGAGCAGTTTTTTAATAAAAGTCTGCAAGAGGACCGTTTGATGTTTAAAAATCGATCGACTAATAATTGAATGTGATGAGCAAAAAAGGTTCGTAAACCACACCGACCTAAGCCACACTACTACAAATATTGCCCCCCCCCCTTAAAAATTTTGGCCCCACACGTGAACATTTTGAACCATCCCGTGAAAATTTTGCCCCCCCCCCTTCGTGAAGATTTTGCTCCCCCTGTGTAAATTTAAACATTTTTAAGAATTTTTATTTTAAAAGATTTTTATTTCATACATGATAAATAAATCTTAAATTGCGTATATCCGTGTTTCTGTTGGCTCATTTGTCTGTGCTGCTACTGTTGATGCTTATGACGTTGTAATCATCAATTTGTATGCAGATGCCACTGAAAATGTATGAAATAATGTGCGTGCTGCCTTTGTTTAATGCGCAAGAATAAAAAAAACCTCTTGTTACTTGCAAGCATTGAAATAAGGCAATTAATGAAAGTTAATTAATGTGAGATGCTTTCATACTCGCCAGACATTGTACACGATTGATTTATTAATATAATAAAATGAAATGTTTGCAGAACTTTCTATGAGGTTTTGAATCGTCGTTGTAAGAGTTAAAATAAAAATATATTGACTCTGACCAAAAAGAAGTGAGCGGCCTTGGAGACACACAAACATACAGGCACATACACAAACACACAGACTCATACACGCAGACGCATACAGACACACACACAGACACACAAAAACATACAGACACACACATGCTAACACACACACACAGACACACAAACAAACAAATAAACGTTAACTTTGACAACAGATGCGAGGAGACAGACATCGTAACTATCCATTCTTTCATCGACCACAGCAGTGAAGTTATGAAGACTTACTGCGGTAGGAAAAACTCGACGAAGGCCTTCATGAGCAGCAACAACAGGCTGGAGGTCGTATTCACAACGAGGCCTAGAGAATCGAACGAACTTATCAACTCCAGAGGGTTCAAAGCTACCTACGCTTTTGTTACAAGTCAGCAGTTTATGCAATTAATTGTTTTTTTTTCAACTTGATGGGTTTTATTTGAAAAATGTGGTAACTGCTGCATTTTCAATAAAAGTATTCATGATTTTTCTACTCATAGTAAAAATTTTTGTGTTAATTTATTATGTACCTGATGTCGCTCCTCTTACATGCAATGTAGACGGCGAATGTAAGATTATAATACGTCTCATTATCTACAACATTAACCACATCACCGTCACCCTCACTGTTTGTAAAAAAAACTAAGTATTACTAATTATTATCTAGCTAATGTGTAATACAATTTTTTTAGAAAGCATTTTATCACGTAAAAATTACCCGCAGAAGCACTAGATGACATATAGAAAAAAATTTTTGGCATTTGTTTTTAAGTACATTTTTATCCAACTTTTGAAGTCTGTCTGCTATTATTTTTATTTCATTCCCGCACGAGATTTCACATGTTTTGATTTTGCTTGTGTTCGTAGCAATTTTTATTTATACTGAGTAAATTATGTTAATGAGATTAAATTTTTTAATTTTTTTCATTTTGTAAGTGTGAAAAATAAAAATTTAAAAGTTTATTGTAGAGTTTTATATGTGAAAACATCATTTTATTTATTTGTTCTCTCTCGTAGTTTAATTTTTCCATTTCAACATGATGCTTAACTTAATTTTTGCAATTTTTCATCCAAAAAAACGCTCCAACGCATTTTTTGTAAAAAAAACAATATTTCAAAACAGACGGCAAACAACATAAAAAAATGCAGGAATTAGCATCGGAAAATATAAGTTTGGTTTTATAAGCTATTCATTCCATACCTATCCACATCACAGACAGCCATACGGTTTGATCTTAATTCGCTTTTTAATAGTTATACATACATGTGTGTGTGAGTTGTGTGTGTGTCTATGTGCGTGTGTGTGAGTGTATGTATGTGTGTGTCTTTGTGTGTAATGGTAGTTAGACTAGCCATTTCATATTAGGTGCATGAAGCCTACTGATGTTACTTCTAAATTATTTTGTCATTTTGAAAGGGAGGATAAGAATATTCCTAATTCAAATTTTAAACTCAACTTGCCATTTTGCAAAATTTTTTTCTGGGAAAAATACTCCAGAAAACTGTTGACGTTACAAAATACAAACACGAACGTGTGTATTTCTACGTGTTTGTACGGTCTCTGAACAATTGACAACCGGAACGAAAATTTAATTTTTCGGTACGGATTGTCAATTGGAAAATTCACAAAAGAAGGCAACACACTCTATTACACGCAAAAAACAAAATACACACACAAAAACACACACACAAACACACACACACACATAGAGACACAATTACATGCATTATTTTATCTCGTAGTTAACCAATAAAAAATAAATCATTGGATTTGAAAAAAATATATTAAGTTGACTCTTTAAAAGTAACAATGAAATTATTTGTGTGGAAAATTGATTGTTTGAACATCACATAAACAAAAAATTTAGCGAATTATAATGTATATTGTTCATTGCAGATGTTTTGAGAACAGTTTATATCATTTCTAGAAGGAATTGAAATGAGCTGTAAAAAATTTCAATAACTTTTAATTTATAATAATCTGTAATTATAAATATTAAAAATATGGAAAAATTTTCATAACTCATTTATAAAATTACTTATTTCCTTGATGATCGCTTATCGAGTTATTTTTCCAATCATTCACATTATTCATGGCTAGATTGTTTTGAAATTCAATTTTTTCCGAGATTTATGGAAGGTTTTATGAAACATTTTTTATAACTTTCAATTTAATTAACATTTAGATTTTTTTCTTTTGGAGATTCAGTGTTGGACAGCTGTTAACTTGTGTAACGTTTTCAAGCAAATGCCTCTGTGTCTAATGGCTTAAAAAACAAAATTTATAAAAACGTTTGTTCTTGGTTTATTATTTTGCATCATTTTGCTCTCATAGATGTTTCAGTAGAATTAAAATTTTGTTTTTGTAATCATTTCATGTAGTTTTGGTTCATTGGAAAACAATGTGCTGACTGCTTCAACCTTTCCCTATCAACTGAATAACGATGTTTGAATCTTTAAGGAATGTTGAAAGTTACAATGGTATCCCGCACAATGTATACTAAGTTTGATAGATACATGAGTTAAAAGTTGGGAATGATAATTGTCCATTTTCAATACTTTCCGTTTTGTACTGTTAAAACAACAAAACTTTTGATAGGTTTCTGTTCTAAAAATTTATATTTGAAAAATACTAAAGTTGCACGTGAATGCGATAGGAAGGAAATTGTTACTAAAACGAAGAGGACACTTGACTGACATGCTACAAACTTTTACGGTCGTCACTGGAGTAATCAATTCAAACAATGGAGACGACATTACCAAGCAATACTGCAAAATGAAAACAGAGCGTATGCTAAAGAAATGCAACCAAGATACACGTCCAATTTACATTTGTTCTGAGAATCATCTGGCAGTCCTCCGTGAAATACGCATAGACATAACACAAGAAACGAAAAAGAAGGAATAAATACTCTATATGTGCTGTGCAGTTTTTGTAACAATTTTTAATTAAGCTTAATAGTAAACACATACACCGCGAAAGATGTATCTATTATACTCAGTATAAGTGGAAATATCAGATGAACATCAACGGGGAACCTCTTTTAATATTCACATATGTAGTTTAAAAATTTGTAGCTAATGAGTAGTTAATTTGTAGTTTGTAGTTAACATTCATTTTAGAATGTTGAAACATCATATGTGTTCTAGAACGGTCAGCAAACAGAGCAGTCGGCTGTAAATCAATTCGTTTGCGTACAAGTTTATTATATTTACGTTATGAATCCTGAAGCAGAGGAATGTTGAAGAAAATGTGCGTCTATAATTTGCTTGTTACAGTGTTAATGATAATAAGTTTATGATCAATAATTTCGAATTCTTAATCGATTCAAATGCTAACCATTTTTGAAATCTAAAATTAACTTCTTAAAACAATATCAAACTTTTTATTAATAAATTTATAATTAATGAATAATTCTGTTTGCGATTCATAATTGTGAAAAAATTTTCAAATTTATTTTCGGCTTTAGTCCCTCACGCCAAGCTGTTTCAGATCAATATACATTTTTTATTATTATTCGACTTTTTATTGAACACAATTGGTTAAGAGTAATATATGCATTTGTGAGTCCATTTTGTTATAACTTTATGGCTGTTAAAGACCGCCTTCTTACATTTGTTATAGCAACAAACAATTCCATAGTTTATGATTATGATACCATCTGATTGCACGGCTCTTGTTATTTTTTTGTAGCCAGTATAAAAAAATTTACATTATTAACTAACTGTTATACGAAATCATTCCATTAAATTTTGAAATGCTTATTCTACATTGAAATGCATAGAAACAACACAGATAGCGTATTTGAACTGCCGTGATTCAGCGGATGTGACAAGCGAGAATTTTTTGTGTATCTCTAACTATCTCACCTCAAATTAAAACCTGACGCCTCTAACCATTACATCATAATTTTCACTTTTTGCGGTTTATACAATCGGCACCGTTAAGTAGATATTTATAAGTTATACATTGAAGTGTTTGAATGTATTGGCAGAATTCATTCATGCAACTGTTCGCAGTTGAATGCGATATAAATGTCACCTATCAGCCCCAGCAACTTTCATTTGCATGCGTGTGTGTCCGCCGACTTCGTTCAAAATTTATTGCACTAGAGAACAGCATCGTGAACCATGCATGTATGTTCAACCATAAAATTTAAATGATTGTATGCAGGTTGTAAGGGTCTTTCAGGTTGCATTGTCTAAACGTGAAAAGTGTATCATATGGTTGGGATTAAATTTATATTCTTATTTAGTTAAAGGTCAAAGGTTAATTACGCTCTTCCAATGTTCATTCATCACACTGCATGTGATACGCAAAGATCGTTTTGTTGTATTCGAACTTGGTCACTGCATAACAAGATTATGCAACCTAAACCACTAGACCATCGCGCCGTCCTTTATTATGTTAGACACACACACATACACACACATGCATATAAATATATATATATATATATATATATATTTACATATACAAACACACATGCAAAAAACAGTATCATCTGAGGCATAAGTGGATATTCAACTCTGTAAATATTTTCTGTACTGCTCTTTAGGGATTCAGCGCATTCTAGAGAACAACAGAAATAACCGTTGACATACATTATTCACTATACACTAGATTCACGGGAAAATTATTTCAAATTTATTAATTTATTCAGATAATTATTTTAATGTCATTTAAATTTTAAATGTTGTTAGTAAATAATTAAAAAAAAATTAAATTGACAAATTTTAAATGTTGTTAGTAAATAATTAAAAAAAATTAAATTGACAAATTTCAGATTACGGTATTCACTACGGAATACAAGAGAGAGACCTAAGTTAGTTCATGTTTGCGTTCGTTTAGGACGACAGTGAATGATGATTGGTGATGAATGACAAATGACATTAATAAAACTAATGTTATTAATGTCGCTTGTGAAGCGACGATGCAAATTTTGTACTTTTAATCTGTTTTTGCTACTGTTATTAATGATTGGTGGTAGCAGCCTAGTGGTGATGAGGATGACAACGACGATAATGTTGGTAACGATAATGAATAATGATGCGATGATAATAAATTAGATAAAGAGTTAGGATAGCCATAAAATATAACAACTGATTTTATTTTCATCAATTATATATTTTACTTTACATCGAAATATCATAACAGCAATCGCCACCATCACTGCAACCTTGCCCTACCACCACTGCCACACGCAGGTTGCTCCTTTTCCTACCACAGCGACATCAGCGCCACGGGCAACTTCACCTCTCCGAACTACCCAGGCCTCTATCCGCACATAACCGAATGCCACTTCCTTTTCTATGGCAGACAGCACGAAGTCATCCAGATCACCTTCGAAACTTTTGACGTAGAAGGCGTCCAAAATGAGTAAGTTCTTTAATGTTTTCTCTTTCTGTTCGGTGATTTTATTTTAATCTTGACATGCATTTTGTGTTATTTTTTTGAGGAAACAACATTTTTTTTTAATTTATTTTTTGATTTTTGATTTGTTTGTGAGTTTACATTTTAAAACATCAGTGCAAAATTTAGAACAGTAGAAAACTCAAATATAAATATTAAAATGTTTTATAGAAAATAAATATGAACTTTCTCAACAAAAATAAACAATTTCATTAATTTCGTTGAATGATGAAGTTAAACGACCAGCTTTAATGGGGTAGTTGAAAAATGTTTTTGTTATAAATATTTAACTAGAAGCTGTAAAGAAAATGAATCATGTTAATGCATTTTGCGCGTTAAAAGTTATATCTCAAGTAAATAAATTTTTATCAAAATGTAATCAACATTTATTTGTCTGTACATCTTGCAGAATTATTAGAAAATAAAACAAAATCTATGATTTTTTGTCGTACATACTTTATTGGATTCTATTTTTCAGTTTAATGTTCTAATAAATTTATTTAGCTAATCTGAAATTTCTTTTCAAAGAATAAAATTTATTTTCAAATAGTTATAAATTGGTTTTTCATGTTATTGCTCAATGGTGTTGCACGAGGTAGACGTTGAAATAAAATTAAGGAGTGTTTTGAATGGTAAACTTTTTCCTGTTCTTGACGCACCTTGTTATGATAGATGACGATGACAGTGTTGTTTAATGTCTTTGGTATCAATGATTGATGGCGTCATTGATGTAAAACTTGCAGATTGTAGATGGCGTTGTTGATATTAATGACGTAGATGGAAATGTCGTGTATGCGGCATAGGTGCCTGCCTCATTGAATTTGTTTCGTCAAAACTGTTTTTTCCAATTTTTTTTTGCTGGCCACCACCGAGATAATTTTACGGCCGTCATCAATCATAAGACCTAGGACATTTTCATTGTCGAAATTTTAATAACATTTCGCGTTTTTTTCTATTTACGGAAACTCGCAAATGCCGAATATTTTTTAGCAAATAGTTTTTTCAATTTTAGTAATTACATTTTTTGTATCCATTCAAGGAAACCTATCAAAACTTACCAGAATTCGTTTAGTTAATTTGAAAATAAGTGATTAATTTTGAAAAGCAGTTTGAGTTGAATTATTTTAACGTCACCAAATTGAATGAAGGATTTTTATAGAAATGCTGAAGTTGAAGAAATGAATTTAATGAAACACTTAAGCATTTTTTCTGTAATTTTGCTGATATAAAATTTCAATGCCTCTTATCAATTATTTCGCACAATTTTCATAGATGGATGTCTTGAAATATGAATGAATTTGTTCAGTATGGCTTAGTAGAGGTTATTGCAACTATTACAAAATTCTTATTTTAATCCTTGGCTGTTTTTGTGATACAATGCTTAACACATGAATGTTGTTGGTTGACTCAAGTTTAACGGCAAACATGAGTAAGTTTAATATATATTACAAAAAAATCACTATCATACAAACCACACTTGTGTTTCAGCTGTTGTCCTTTTAAAGAACAATTTCTGAGTTCTAGGAAAGACATTTGGTACGTAGTGTTTTAATGAATGTTTAGTAAGCGTTCGCTAGTTATATATAATGATTATGAATAAAATAAAAATATTTAAAATTTGTTTGGAATTTTTAAAGAAAGTAAATTTTTTTGTTTATTGAGAATAGCATCTAGTTAATTTTTTCTGTTCTATATGAAACGTTTGTAAGCAGAGTCTAACTCTTTCCACTACAAATTATGATACAATGATAGCTTTTCAAATCCAAATAGATTATATCTACGGAGTTCACACTGTCTACTTTTTCAGTATTGCTTTGGTTGTCCTTTAGTGGTCCAACCTTTGTGTTTCTTTTTTGTTATTCAATTGATGGACATGTTAACAGTAAAAGCTTTTACTGTCTTTTTTATGTTTTTATTCAGCTTTACCTCGTAACCCTTTATCGTCTTCTTGTTTATTTTCTTTGCCAAGTTCCTCTTTTTCACAAATTTTTATCTTGCTTTCTCAAGCTGACTCCCACACTTTGTTCCCAATAAGATTTGATCATTTTTGCGTATATTCTGCAATCTTTTCCATGTTCTACTTTTTGTTCTCCTGGCTTTTTGAACGTCCTTATTTACCCAAGGACATTTTTTGTTAGTTTTTCTGTAGGCTGGTATTGTTTGTAACTAAACTGAGTTAAAATGTTTCTTATAAAATAAGCTAGGGTTCAAGAAGACTTTACAACATAGCCATAGCGAAATAACGTACTTTAACATGAATCTTCAGAAGTTTCAGTTGTTTGAAATTTTTATTTTCTGATTTATTTTCACTAAAAAGATTATTATAATAAGTCAAAACTATCAACAATGAGTTTAATTAAAAAACTATAATGCTGTATTTATAAAAAAAAAGCGCTGTAGATTATTATTTTAATGAAATTCAAAATTTTAAAATTTAAGTTTTTACTTTATGAATTATAAAAACATTTCTTTGCAGTAATGTTTGCCGGTTTTCACATAATTCAATTCAACACGCTCATCCAAAAAATTTAGTCAACTGGGTTAATGGGTGGAACAAAAATTTAAATAGCAGAAATTTTCAATTGATGGACACGTTAACATTTGTTACGCTCCCTTGCTACTCTTAAGTTTAATAAGAGTCTGTCATGTTCAGTCGGGAGCAACTGATTCCAAACAAAAATCGGCCTGCCTATTTCAATGATACCTTGTTTGCAAATCATTGCTACCAATGTTTACACACTGTGTCATCAATATAAAAAGTACAACTGAAAGTTTTAGCAAATATTTTTCAGAGGAGAAAAAATTTCAAATTTTTTAAAAATTTTCTCTCAAAAAAAATCAAACTCCATTTGAAGGATATATAGTGGATTAATGCTAAGCTGAACAAAATGCTCTGTAGAAAATGTTCAACGTTTCAAACAATGCATGCAATCTGTCGCAAACAAAACCATGCTTTTTGTTTTTTGTTTTTTCATTCCATCATTTTTTCATCATTCCTTAGTTTCTACATTCTTTCGTTCCTACATTTTAACAAATCTTTAAACGTTATAATATCTAATCTTTTCTAATCCTTCGAAATCTTCTTGAAGCATTCCAAAAATGCAATAAATACGAAAATGCCTAGACCTCGCTGATTCATTATAACCGCAAACATGCTCTTCAAACGTATGCATTCATTTTGAGATGAATGGACAGATTTAATAATATTTTTATTTATTTGTTCTGCAAGCCGAAATTATGAATCTGCATGTTGGCAACGGGATTACATGAATAGAGAAGGCAATGCATGATGTATGTGATTCGCTACAGCAGAGACAGCATGCCATGCGTTCCTTCTTTCCTTCTTTCCTTCCTTCCTTTCTTCCTTCCTTCCTTCTTCCTTGCAAATGTCCTCAGAGCCATCATTCATCCAGGCGCGTTTGGCAGATGGGCATTGCTTAATATAAACATGCAATTATTTCCTCTGATTCGTTTGTTCTATCTTTGATTTTTCCTAAAAAACTGACTGATTTTTATTTTGCATTAGTTGTGTGAACAACTGAACATCAAATAAGATTAATGAATTATAATAATGATTTATTGATAGAATTTGTTTAAATGATTAAGCAACATTTTTTAATAGAAACAAACGTTTCAAATTATTTTCAATTACTTGAGATTGAAATCTGGAATCATAAAAAAAACTGAACGCAATGAATATTAGTTGGGTACGCAATGTTCATTTCCTCCATTAATAACAATTATTCTGGATTTTACTTTTCGGAAGAAAGTCCTAAATTTTTTTAGGAAATTTTCTCAGATTGATTAATACAAATTTTTGCCTTTGCAATAAAATCAACCTTTCTTACTTATTAACCCATTTATATAATGTCATTGCCGTAGTAGGTAATTTTTATTTTTTCGTAATTAGCATAGGCTAAAACAATTATGAACCGACCAGACTTTTTTAGTTGCTCAAATTTGGTACTGCCCTACCCAGTTTCAAATGCACTCTTAAAAGGAAGCATTTGCAAGAAATAATGAAGTGAATGATACTTAATTCGCAATAATGAATAACCTAAAATAATAATTGCTCCTTTGGCAAACTTCAGTTATTAACGCGGCATGCTAAATAAATAAATGTATGCACTTGACCATTTATAACATTTGAATTCCTTCAGCCATCAACTTATCATACACCACGTAAAACAAATAAAACTTGTAATCGACACAATAAATTTTTCACCAGAGCAATATAACTCTAGCATAATTTTACATCAGGGCCATCAGTATTACTATATTTATCTTAGTTATCGTCGTCATCGCGCTCACCATGGTGACGGTGTTATCCACGTCATATTGCTAATAACTTAGGGAATTACAGAAATTGATATCCCGCGCACTAATAACCAACATGCGTCTGCTGTCCGTCTTTGCACTGATAGATGCGTTTTTCTGAACTTCCTCCAAATCCGCACATAATTTGAAATATACTTATGAAAAAAAACTTGTTTAGTTTTATTTCTTAGTTTTGTTTATTTTTTTATTTTCTGAAAATGTACTGAATATCTTAAACACAATTTTTTTACGTTTATATTTTAGCATATTAGCAGACAAATGTAGAAATTCGATTTTATAGCTTTTTTTTGGGAACATTATTTTTATCGATGCAAATAAAAACTAGTTGCTATACAAAAAAAAATTAAAAAGTTATCTGGAATAAATAACTTCAGTATTTTTATTCCTTATGTCAACAGACAAACGTCAGCTTCATCTTTATCTTTCATTCCGGTTGGAGAGCTTTATTAAGAAAGGAACGACTTTTTTTATAAGTAAAAACATATATACTTTTTAAAATACTCATGGAGAAAAAAAGTTTTTTGAAACATTTCTTAGACATTGATTTAATAATAAGTATTACAATTACAATTACAATAACTACATTCATGTCACCTCTGGCCTATAAGTTAATAACAACTGCTAAACATTTCCTTCATATAAAGTTACATTAAAATTTATTTACCTATCAATAATTATAAAAATTAGTGACAGTAAGCAAGAAAGACTTTTTACAGACCTTTCACCAAAGTAGCAAATATAGCATGTATAGTTCAATTTCAATGATGTTGCTGCCCGCGACGTTGTCATCATGTTGAAATATTTTATTAGCGCGTTTGTAGGTTGGCAACATGTTGTCAGTTCATGTATGCACTCTGATTGTTTGTTGTTGTTGTTGTTGTTGTGTTGTTGTTGTAGTTGTTGTTACGTGGTTTCCAGTTTTTGGAAGGAAATATAATTCGCGGTGAATTGCTGGTTATTTTTTAATAAATTCAAGCAATTATATAATAGTGCAACGATTAATGTGAAAAAAATTATTAATTTTATTCAAAAAAAGCTTCAAATCATTTTATGAGCTATTAAATCATTTATTTATATAATGATTTATTTATTTTCAGCCGTTTATATAATTTTCAATCAGTTGTTATCTGAAGCCTTTTCAAAAGTTTTAGCTATGTGCTCATGAATATTTATGAAGAGATAATTGTATAATATTTCGTTTCACATTTCTTTATGTTACCGATGCTAAAAAAAAATAAATAAATTCTTTGAGAGTCAAAAGACATGATGAGCAAAAGGCCTAAAAAATAATTTGCAATCAATCGATGAGAATCATTCACGTGCGTACATCAATCACACGCCTGCTTCCAGCATTACCAAGGCACTAATGACGTATGGTCTACGTGTCAATTACATCTTCTACTCTTTCTTCCACCTTTCTATTTCATATTTTTGTTGTTAGTTTCACGCTCAATAGTTGTTTTTATAAATGTTATCATCAATTGAAGTATAACACCAAAGCATCAGCACGGCATGGCATAATTAAATAATGACTGAATAACAATTGAGCTATTGAGAATAGCAATTTAAAGGTTATATTAATATTTATATTTAAGTTTCACTTTGATTTATCATACTGTGCATTGCTTTACTGATTGATTTTTTGTGTTTTTAACATCCAAATTTAACTTTTGTTTAATACTTCTCAAGTTTCTTCAATAATTAGCGACAAAGGAATAATCACGTTGACATAACCTAACAGATGCAATGAATGAACTTTTACTAAATTTATACAATTGTTTCATCTCATTGAACTTGAACACATACCATCAACATTCAACACATAGATAGACCAGAAGTCAGTTCATTTTACTCAAACGTTTGTACACTATCTTGATGGCCTATCATTTGAGTTCACATATTCGAATTTTCGTACGGTAAGCTTTTAGTTAATAAGATAAATAAGTTGTTAGTTTAATAGTAAATAAGTTGAGATTGAAAATGCGGAGATTGTACAATAAAAATAACGTCTGATCGAGATTACATGTTCAATGAAGTATATATATCAAATAAGATATAATTCGCATTATGCTGAGCTCAAGTTTAAAAATACTTCAATATAAAAAAATTGAATGAAGTGCGTGTGGGGTCACTCAGTCATAAGACTTAAACGAATCATTCAGAAAAAAAGGTCTTAAAGAATAGTCAAATATTTAACCGAAAAGTTAAACTTTTTGTAATATTACTGAAAATAATTGTAATAATATATGATAATTTAGGAATTGATTTCAAATGAAATAATTTCTTATTTTGTGACAGTTGCAACGAAAAAACCCAGAGTGATTATGTTGAACTTTCAAACTTCAACGTTCAACTGATGGATAGGAAGATGAGTAGGTGGGTCCGGCTTATTTGATTGATTTGTTGAGATATTGATTGATTGAATGACTGACCGACCGACCGACCAATTGATTGATTGATTGATTGATTGATTGGTTGGTTGGTTGGTTGGTTGGTTGGTTGGCTGGCTGGTTGGTTGGCTGGTTGGTTGGCTGGTTGGTTGGCTGGTTTGTTGGCTGGTTGAATCGATGGATGGTTGGTTGGCTGGCTGGCTGGTTGGCTGGCTAGATGGCTGGCTGGTTGGTTGGATGGCTGGTGGACTGCAAAACAGTTCGTATGACTTGCTGCTAGTTTGGTTCTGGAATGAATGATCCATGAGTGAAAGGTTGAAACACACGAGATGATTGATGGATACTGCATGAATAATTTTTTAACAGTTGAATGCTGATTAGCTACTCCATTGGATAATATTATTTAAATTTTTTTTATTTTCATATAAAATAAATAAATAAATTTGAAAAAAATTATATTTATTCATTTATTAATTTGTTGATAATATTTTTAAAAAATGTGTAAAAATCTACCTAGCTGTTTTGGGAAAAAATTTATATAATTTTTTTCTACTTTTTGAAAATTGTAAAAAATTGCAAAAAGAAACAGCCTGAAAACATCGTAGAGGTTCACATTCGCATGAGCATTAGGCCGAAGTAACAACATTGAATTGTTATTCTCAAGGCAATTTGCATTGGAAAACACAAAAAATACAAAATTTTCAATTTTTCAAAATTTTATAAAATGTTATCAAATGTTTTAGATTTTTTTATATTCATGTAGAAACTATTTTTAATATTTGAAAATTGTTTTTCTACTTTGAAAATGGTTTCTCAGATTTTAAATTTTTTTTATAAAGAGGTTAAAAAGTGAACATTTCAACGTTAGCAGTAACTTCAGACAGCAGAATATTTTCAGTTCCCAGTTACATGTAGAAAGATTGAGAGCTTGTCAAACATTTGAATGTTGTCACTTGTCATATATATTTTATTAAAAAGAAATTATTAAAAAAACATTGCTATATAACTCATATTTTAAACGCATAAAGTTAAATAATAATAAGTAAGAATTGCTTAAAAAGTTGACGATTGTCACGAGGCTGAAGTATAAAATATTCTGAAGTTAAACTCAAACTTTCAGCGTTGTACGGCTGTTGATATTATCGTCATGATTTCATGAATAAAGCATATAAAATTCTAAAAAAAACTTCACCGAATGAAAGAAAAAAAATTACTCCTACAAATAGTTAGTTTTTTACTCAAGAGTAAAAGAAAAAGAAGAAGATGAAGAAAAAGAAAAAGAAGGAGAAGAAGACGGTGATAATGCTAACGATAGTGTTGATATTGATAATGATGATATTGTCTCGATGATGGTGGTGTGACGTCATTTATGATGTGATAACGTGGTTGATGACGAACGTGAAAAATTACATAACGACAGATTTTATTTAACAGGAAAATTTTTTATTTAAATCCACAAGTGATTAAATTTTTTGAGTTTTTGTCTAATATGACATTTGTCGAGTGGAATATAAATTTTGATCCGTCTCGATGTGTTTTAAACAGTCCTTAAAGATTTGATTGGATGACATAAAAAATTTTTCTCAGGTGCTCCTATCTACAAACATAAAACCATATTTTTAGATAGCATTCCATTCAATCATGCATTTATAACATTACTTAAGATAAAAGATATGAGCACAGGTTTTAATCAACCAAAGCTTACTAGCTTATTACTAAGATTGTTTAAAAAATGCAAAATAAAATAAAATTGTAAAAAAATTCAGTAAATCAATGAAGTTTTTATAATTTATAATTTTGTCTTCACTGAAGATTGTGCCACAAATTGCCAGAGAATCGGCGCGTGATCATCTCTGACAACAACTTCTTCCGTGTGACATTCAAATCAAACGATAGATTCGACTCAACAGGTTTCCTCGCCACGTACGAGTTCAAAAAAATTGAAGGTGGTTAGTCCAGTTGCTGTCTTCTACAGTTTTTTCTCTTTTAAGAATTTTTTTTCTTGCACGGGAGTTTTGTTTTGTGTGATAGATTCATTGTTGAATGATTTATGTGGAGTTTTTTTTTCACATTTTTTTTATGGTTTGCAATGTCAGTAGTTATTTTTAGTGTTTGGTCCTGCTGGGTTTTCCGTGTTCTAGTTTATTAAAATTAAGTTGTATAGCAGTTGTTTTTGTTGTGATTTTTCTTAAAAAATTAGGTTGATTAATTAATCCGTTCAGTTGCGCGGTACTTTTTGCAAAATCGTTTCAGTAAAATGTTTTGAATGGGTTGATCAAAATTTATATTCTGGTAATGTTCGCTGCAGCTTCACAAAGGTTCATCGTTTAGGCTTCGTTGATACTTTGTCGTTTAATGATTTTTTTTACACACGATTTGCTTCCATTTGTTTTTATTTCGTACTCTGTAATTAAGAGCCACGTTGAAAATTTTCAAATTTTAACCGGTGAATTTTAATTTTTCATCCAACTTTATGAATCAGTTATAAAATGATTAGCTATTTTCACGGCTTGTTTAACAAAAACAGTTCAAATAATTTTTATAATTGTTGTAAAAAATTTTACGATATTTTCACCTCATCAAAACAATTATTCAGACGGTAATTCTTTTGCTTTTTTCAATTTCAGCAGTAGCGAATATGTACGCGTTGTTTTATCACTTTCATCATTACAGATCTGTTTCCAACTATACTTCCTACTGGTCCCTGGGGCTTTATTCAATAATGATATAATATTTTTGTTAGCTGTGGTGTGCGTCACTTGTGTTGTGCACAGTTTTGTATGCGTTTGTAAATGTGTATGTATTTGAGAAAATATTTGGTCATTGTTTTTCGGTTTTTCTAAAGTTTCTTTTTACATCGCCATTTAAAACAACATTTCAACTATAATTTATAACTAAAGTTATTTCGGCAAGGAACAGTCGTCCGTGTTTTGTTCAGATAAAATATAAATAAATAGAAAGTGTAAATAAATATTTTCAAAATTTGATGCAGTAAAAAATTGCAAATTGAACATTTTATCACATATAACTACCGTATATATAACAACATTATATAACACATTTGTCAAGAGAAGAATCCATTTCATCTATTATTCAACAAAAAAATTACCTTAACGAGTGGTCTTAGTATACCATCAAAAAATATCAAAAATCCTCATATCGTCTTTTTACTCAAATTTTTACTGATGGGAATAACAGAGCCGAGGAAAATTTAAATTTTAAAGCACAAAATTAAATAGAAAGATAGTTTCATGAAAATTTGTTTTTGAGATGTTTTTATATATTGGGCGCATCCAGTTACGTTGCAGTAATAAAATTGAAATTTCAACAATAGTGTCAGTGGTGTTGGATGTTTAATGTTTATGACTGGCATGGCCAATCTCATTAAGTTGATGACATTTTTATGAATGCCGACTTAATAATTTTATGTATTGCTCTATATTTTTATACATTGCTCTATATTTTTATATATTGCTTTATATTTTTTTATAGGTTTTAAATGCTGTCAAGTAGAATTTTGCGATGTTTTCATGAATTCTTTATTGCCATGTTGTGTTGTCAGGGTGTGAGAAGTTGAGTTGTTCCTTACTGACTGTTAATGCGTCTGTTTGTTATAAAATGGTCGTTATTTTTTGTAGTTTTCAGAATCTAATTTGTCGTTTTAATTTAAAATAAAACTTGCACTTTACGGTACCTTGAGACGGTGCGTGTGCTATGGATACATAACCTCATTTTATTGTGCCTGCTTTTCTGTCTTATTAAAACTTATCAAACAAGTTTCAAATATATTTAAATTATTTCATCAAAACACTTAAACACTTAAATATCAGTTATTTAAATTTTTTTTAATGTTGTAAGATTTTTTTTTCTAAAAATTCAAAAAAAAGTATCTTTTAATTAACTTTCAACTCTTGACAGACAGCTTCCGTCCATGCGCTTGCAAATATTTATTTCAAGATTAATATTTAAAGTACTGACATCTTAACAACTCTATTAAACATGTAGCAGTGAAATTTGCATTGAATTATATGTGAATAAAATAAAAAAAATCCATATCAAGTTTGAACACGGTCAAAAATTCAGTTTTGATGATTTATGATAAGATATGACGTGATGCGGCATCGTGTTGTTGCTGTTGTTGTCGTTGTAGTGTTTTTATGATGCATGTCGTGTTGTTGCTGTGTTTTGATGATGTATGCTAATGTTGTTGTTTTTGCCGTTGTTTTTGTTGTTGTGGTGATGGTGGTGTTGTTGATAATGTTGTTGATGTCTTTGTTGTTGTTGTTGTTGCCGTATTTTTTGTTGCGCTCTTAATATTTCGTCGCCAGGCGTTGTGCTCCGCCGACTCCTGACATATTCAATTACAACTTCATTTCCAGCTGGTGGTGGAGGTGGAGATGAAAGAGATGACGACCGCGATGATGATGGCGTTGGTGTGATGGTGACGATTGTGAATGTGATGATGAAAGTGAAGAAGAAGATGATGATTGTGATGATGATAATGATGATGATGATGGTGATGATGATGATGATGATAAAAATGATGAAGATGATGGTGAGGATGAAACATGTAATTGTCGGTGATGATTAAAACGATCACAACAATAAAGGTAACGATGAAAATATTATCAATTATGATGATATTGAATCTTTAAACGGGTGATGAGAAACATGAGAAGATTTTAAATGTTTCCGCGAAACATGAGAGGATTTTAATGATGTAACTTCCTCTGATATGTTTTGCTTAATTGAAAAGAATAGATCTATACAGTTATTTGAAATCTGTCATGTTTGATGAGAACACAAAACATTCTTTAGTACAAAATTTTTATTGCTAGAAAATTTACCTCAAAAGTTAATTTGAAAAAATTGAATTGTTACACACATTTTGTAATTACAAAAAAAAATATAAATTGTGAATATAACAGCAAAATAGTCGGCAGCTTGAGTTTAAAACAGTTTTTAAAACTTTTTTTCAAGATCTTCAAGAAGGGATAGCGAGCATGATGGCAGTTTCTGCAACATAGGCAACACTAATTTTCACAAAACTGTTACGCAAATACTGCTTTAAAAAAAACAATTATTCAACTTATCGTGGAAAATACACTTAAATTTTGAAATAATTTTTATTTGATCATAACTTCAAATAAAATTTTCTTCAGATTTAAAAAAACCGAGTTTTAATTTGCCGTCTTGAATGTCAGCTATTTGATGTGGAATTTCAGAATTAAAAATTTTTATATGCGTCTTTTAAAGGATTCTTTTTAGACGAATAAATTTTTAATTGCCATCAAAAAAATCTCATAAAGTTCGAAGAAAATCGTTTTAATTGGTTTTGGATGAGAAATTTTCTGAAGTTTTCCTCATCAGCCATATTTTTTCTTGATTTTTTCACTACAAAAAATAACGTAAAATACTTTTTATGATTTATTTCTAAAGCTGTTTTGAAATTGAGAAAAATTGATGTTGTTAACTTCTTCGAATTAAAATGATGGCAAATTAACCTAACAGTAGCAGGGTTGTAACGCCTGGAAGGAGCTGAGCAATGAAATTGTTTCAGCGGTTTCAATCAACAACTTTAAAATCAAGCTATGGCATTTATTTAGTATTGGTTTCTTACAATTTACATTTTGAGAATGTTGTCACGTTATATTTCGTCAGAAAAATTAATTTAACGATTCAAACATCTAAATGTCATTATCATGACCTATATAAAGCCCAGAGCACCCAGAGCAAAATTTTTTTTTCGTTCTACTAACCAATTTTCATATCTGATCATATTATTTTTTGTCTATTCATTCACATTTTTGTCAATTTGTAAATAATAAAAAAGTTATTGCATATTGTTAACTTCATTATAATTATCATTGATAACGTCATGTTAACGTCGTAGAAATGTTTGATGAGCTTTTTTCTTGTCATGCCATTTCTGCATCCGTAACGCTCGAGTGTTGATATACTTTTGTCCGCTATTCGCGAAAAATCATGTCCCAAGTTTTGTGGTCAGCAATCTAATGGTCGGATCGGATGGATGATTTTTCATCTAGTACGCCTTGTAGATAACGCATTTATTATGTTTCAGTTTATTTGCGCGTGCGTCTCTTCATATCTCTGCATTTTATTTTCAGATTTTTGGTCTCTCGGTATTTTTTTCATTGGTCATTTTACTGCATGCATGCTAATTTGCATATTCAATTACTTGATAGGCGGTCTAATTTATCTGAACAACTCAGTTTGGGAAATGAGTATTTCTTCTACCAATGCGTTCGTAGATTTCTTGTATGAATTTGTTCTGTTTGAAATATATTCTTGTTGTGTTCTGTGACCAATGCATGTTTGTTATTCACTTTTGATAGTGGTCTTCTTTTACGCGTGCAGATGTTTGCTATTGGCTGCAGCAAAGTAGTCTTTCGGTGGTCATTTTGTGTTTTCATTTTGTTTCGCTCCTGGTCAAATCAATATGCTTGCCTGGCACGTCTGCACTAAGGTAATTGAAAATTTTCTGTTTGTTATTCCATATGCTGCGTACTGCCAGTGCTGAAATATGCCGGGCCGTGCCGTACCTTGAACAGGCTGTTTGTGATCGTTGAGGTACCTATTGGAGAAGCGTTTGGTAATATTTTCGTCGTTTTTGCTACTGTTGTTGTTGTTGATGTTGTTGTTACCTATTGTTGCAAACACGGTATGCTGTTTTTGTTGTTGTTAATGTTGTTGTTGTTGTTGATGCTGTCACCGATTGCTGTTGTTAGTGTTTCAGCTGATACGGCAAATGAAATTGCTTCTGGTTACGTGTTTGTTATTGACGTTTCATGCGTCATGCACTGATCACGTGATATCCTTGATGACGTCATTCATCTGCGAGTCAATCACGACTCAGTTGAACGCGTGTGCTGCATGATGGGAGGTCGGGCGGTTGCGTTCGTGCCGTTCCTTTGATGTCTGCATTTCCATAACAAATGAAATTTTGTGGCTTTTTTCTCGTTTTTTTTAATGCTGGATTTTATCAAAAAATAAACTTAATAAAATAAATTCTTTAGTTCGAAGACCATTTATTTTTTAAAATGTATTTATATACATATCTATCCAAAATTGTTTGATCAAACTTGTTTGACAGAAACATTCATAAATCAAAAATGTGTTGTTTTTTTGTGCCTTGTTATGATTTAAAATGTACTCGGCGTTGGTATTGTAGTATTTTCTATTTTGTCAACTTTCTGACATTTTCTTACATTTGTTTGTTGAAATTATTAAAAATTACGAATAAATAAATTAAAGTGTTTATAAAAATTAAGATTACATTAAAATAAACACAAAAATTTCAAATTTCAGACGGAAAGTCAGCTAAGAAGCACGCGAACCTGGCGTTTGGCGGGAAACAAACTGGCAGTTTACTCTTGTTCTACGCCATCTCTAGCAGTTTTTTCATCCACTATTTTTGAATCGATATATTTTTCCAATAAAAGAGTTATTAACACAAAAGACCATTTGGTTTTTTTTGCTGAATATAGAGAATATTTTTGATGTGTTATGACGATTTCTTGAGAAATTATTATCCGACAGATGAGTGTGTTAGCACACATGTGTTTGTCAACGGGTGTATGCGAATATATAACTATTAGGTCATAAATATGAATTATATGATTATATATATTTATATGAGTATATATAATTATTTAATTATTCACATTATTTTTAATTTCTCGAGAGCGTATTATTAATGAAAAATCGTCATGACAATAATAACATAAAATAAACCGTCTAAAATACCAGACTTTGAAAGAAAAGAAAATCATTTAATTTTTTTGACGAATCGTTGTGGAATCATTTGACCCTAACTTAAAATTTGACTGGCTCGGTCCATTGTTGATCCCTACGCATGATCTTGAAGAATTAAACTATAGTTTCACCTTATTATGTATTAGACGAGTTTTAAACCTTTTAAAAAATAGTTTAACCGGAGTTATTCCTGACCTAAAGTTTAATTTAACAAATTTGGATTATTTTAACATTCCAAGTAAATGAACAAAAGAACAAAAACACATAAACATCTGGTTGTTATAGTGTAAATAAATAATACCTTTACACAAATTATCCATTTTTATTTATATTTTATTATTAATTTTCTTTATTAATTTAATCACGGTAAAAGTTATAACTAGATGTTTTAAATAAAATTTAAATTTCGAAACATTACAAAGCCTTATTCTACAAATCTAGATATATGCGCATGTACATATGTATCTAAAATATCCACATACCTATAATGTTCATATACAATAATACGTTTATCATGATACGTATATCATGATATCAATATATCTTATGATAACCTCATTCAAACTGGTAACATGGCATTCCCTAAAATAGCAATCTATAACATTCATCTAACTAGAATGTCATTGATTAGTATCACTTTTTCACATATAAATAAAATACATATGCATGTGTTGTGTGTGCCTGCGTGTGGTATGTGTATGTATGTGTGTGTGTGTGTTTGTGGGTGGGGGGGTTTGCTTGTCGATCTAATGTTGTTTTTTATTGATATATAGATACAAGGTATCATTAAGAGGTTTTAACAATGTGTATCATTGAGACATGTTTTTAATTCAACATTACTTGAAAATTCATTTAAAAAGTTTAGTAAGTTCATTTTTAAATTATTTAAATCGTAGTTAACAATTTTTTTTAATATTTAATGATTAAAAACAGTATAAAAATCCTGTCATTATATAGAAGATAATTGCTTTCTGTTAAGAACCGTTAACTTTTTTACTAATTCGATTTGTAGAATAAAGTCATTGTAATTAAACATGTATTGACTCCAACCTCATTTTCGTCTCTGGTCTTGCGAATTTAGTGAAGTTTACATTTTATTATTTCTCGTTGATTGATTTAAAATTAGTTGCAATCTCGCATCACCATGATAAATTTCTTCTCGAAAACGAACATTGCTTCATAGTGGACATCTGGATTCGACATCATTCGTTTGATTTAACAAGTAAACAGCTTGAAACATCGTAGACATAAATTGTGATGCATTTACAAATCTCGCAGCTATCGTTCCACCGATCTAACCAATTGCCATACAACATCAAAAAATACAAATGCGAAAGAATGTTTTGAATTATTTTAAATCTATATGTATCATAAAAAAAATTTGATACATTTTGATTGCGAATTTTTTAGCCATATTACAAATAGCATATTAGTGTATGTATATAAAATACGAAATGCTAATCACGCATAAATACATAAACATTTATTTATTCAAGACAGTTGACATTATTATCATTCGAATGTTAAAGAGCAAACATTTTAGAAATATACGAATGATCGGACGAAATCTTCCCAAGCTTTATACCTAAATATCTGACTTTACAATCGTGAAACGTGGTATCTAGGCAGGCAGAGGTACTGAGATAATTTATATTTTAGCAAGGTGATTGTTCGTTTTCTGTTGCATTCTTAATGTTGAAGTTATATCATAAGACTGCATGTGCAAATTTTACAATGTTATTTTCTGTTAATCATCGATTGAATATTAAAGCGTTACTCCTTTTTTTTGTAATTGTTATAGTAATCGTTGATGTTATTTTTATGAAGTTCGTTGTTATTCTTGTTTTTTTTTACTAACAATAAAATATTGTACTATGTCTGTTGCGTACCACCACGGTCATTATTTTCAAAAAGACATTTGATAATGTCTAACCCTAACCCTAACCCACGTTTATTTATGACCAAATCATCCAACTGAACGGAAAATTTTGGAAAAAATTTTTCCATCTCCGTGTAAAGTTGGAGTCCTGTGATAGCGGTAACCACTTTCAGCCTTTGACAAAAAAAAGCAAAACCTGATTGGGTCTTGAAAAAAATCTTTCGTTGAAATTTTTCAAAACCACTGGAAAAAAAGAGAAAGTTTTTATTCAAATCTCAAAACTGCAGTTAAATATTATTCAATATGTTTTTTTGAATGTTTTGTTGTTGTTGAACGCGATTCTGTTCAAGCGAGTGTCCGGATTATTTGTGGCAGCCCCACGTTCATTCGAGAGTTGAATCAGAAAATTTTTTTCTTTTGTTTTTTATTGATTTGTTTGAAACTGCATATTATTTAAATTTATGGCCTAAGTCCTTTTTCTGAATGTTCAATGAAATAAACGATAAGCCACTCTTTGTTAAGTGCTTCAACTAGTTTCAACGAGCCATTCTAACTTTACTTGATGAAGGAAGGCACTGCAAACAATTTATAAAGCCAAAAAGCCTAGAGTGCAAAGCCGATAACAAAAGTTGTTAATTGCGTGAGTAGACAAATAAATTTGAAAATTTCGATCCCTCTAAAAATTTTGAGAAACAAATTTCAGTTTAGTCGTCAACGGTTTTTTGTTAAATATTTCATACTTGTCGTTCAGTGTACAATTTGTAAGTATTGATACAATGATAAAATATCCTATATATATCCTTTTTACAAAGAATTTAAAATTAACACTTTTATAATTTATAATTTTAATATTTTATAATTTTTCTTGGGGGGGGGGCAATTTCCCCCCTGCCTCCCCCCAAATGACGCCTCTGACAACGTACCAGTGTGACATTACTAACAGTGAATTATTATCGCACCAATCCGTGGTTGCATGGTTGCATACCCAAATTGTCCTTTGTGCCTGCCGACTAAACGCTCAGCAGCCAACTTTTAAGACACCAATTTGTAGAGATAATCATCCAAATGTAACAATCAAAGAAACGAAAGTTAACAAATCAAAACTATTTGGTGTTAATTAGATATTATTAGTGAATTTTTATTAATTTTATTATTGTAAAGTTTCTGCTAATTGTTATCATAAAAATTTTCATAAAACATCAACATTGAAAAAAATTTACATCAAACAACAACAACAACAACAAACAAGCGAAATGATAACAACTTGACCTAGATCTGTCAATCAAAACAACATTGTTACTAACTATACAAGCACATATATATATGCATATGCATATATATATGCATATACACATATACATATGCATATATGTATATATATATATTTATAAATATATATATATATATATATATACACGTACATGAGTCTACAATCTACAAGACTATGTTACTTATGTTTGTGTGGGTAACTTGTACGTTATATATTTGTGTGCGAATGCGTGTGTGTGTGCGTGTGTGTGTACGTGTATGCGTACAAGCTCGTGCTTACACACGTTTGCGTAAAGATTTCCGAATGTAGAGCAATCTAAAAATAGCTCTTGTTTTTAACGTACTCTCATACGATCTTCATCGTAATATGTTTATAAATAGATCCTGTTTGCGCGCTCTTACCACCCAAACTCCTTTCCTTTCATTTCTTAACGTCAAACTTTTCAAAGCACGAATATTATGAATGAATTGCGCGCGTATATATGTGTGCGTGCGTGTATGCGTGCGTATGAATAATAATTATCACACACTGTATTTGTGTATTTGTTTTAACATTTTTTTAGGAAATACTTTAACAATTTAATTTTAAAGACACCACATATAAATGACATTCAAAAAGTAATTTAGTTCATAAAACTTGATGTATGCATGAATTCTTCCCTAATGACGTAAAAAAAAGGTCAAAAATCGGTTACAATTTTCTGGCTTAGCAGATAACCGTTCAAAATTGCGCATACTAAAATTTTTGGTCCGAAGTTTAATCAAATGGTTCTTATAAGAATATTCAATTATAATAATATGCTAATAACGGCAAAAACGCCGATCGCTTAATAAAAATTGGGAAGTTTAACATCGGAGTTAGATGCACGTCAAATATAAATAAATCGATTGCCCTAATTTTAACTGTTCAGCTTGATCATTCGCTATTAATCAAACCACCAAACTGATGACTTTTTCTTCCAACTAGTTTTCTGGATATGGATAAATGTGAAATAAACGTGAAAATCATTCAGACAGGAAAATTCTGGATATTTTTTCAATACGAACTAAAAGTTTTTTTTAAATTTAGCGACGTTTCGTTAAAATTACATGACGACGACGACGACTTTTAGCGTGATTTATTAGTGACAGGTTGTTTTCAATTTTAGAGCAGGTTGAAACATAAATATATAGAGAATATATACTCTATAGATAAATATGGGTTGAAACATTCATCTGTCACCGTCAGACCAAAACCCCGCCCAAACTGTTTGAACAAATCATTGAATTAGCAGGAGCTACTTTTGAAGTTTGGTGACAAAAAATAAAGTTTTACAGAATTTAAAAATTGATCACACGTGTAAACAAACACATATCGACTAGAAAAACACACGTGGTGGTGTCATACAAACAGACGCGTTTGTGTAATTACCAAATGATTCTCAATAAATTTAGTTGTTTAGAGAAAATTATTTCACTAAAAATTGTCTTTCCGCTGTTACACTTTCAAATTTTTTTTCCACCAACATGAGTTAT